GTGTGTATAACCTCTTTTTAAGTTTTGGGGATATTATACATGGTTATGCTGAGGATATGTCGGCCAATTTCCACTGGAAATGCCTTTTGGTTAAACTGTCAGCAAGGAATTTGCACTGTTACATTTTTATATAACTTTAATGCACATAAAAAACAGCTGCTTGTTTAAGTGAAAATACATTGATGGTTTTGGTTGGTTTTTTGCACTAATAAAGTTGTGGAGTTGTACAGTATTTTGTCTAGTGTCAATTATATCGTCAGTTATATCGTTATCGCAAATTTTCAAATGTATATCATGATAAATATTTTTGGTCATATCGCCCTGCTCTATAGTATAGGTAGGTAAGCAATAGTCGAAGCAGGAAGAAACCATTATCTAGTAACATGGATTGGAAGATATCCTATTAAAGAGTATTTTTGCTCCTTTTGTTATAAAAGTACATTTCTGATCATTTCATCATCATGTGCTGACATTTACCTTGAGTGATACAGCATAATTTAAATCTCGAGAGTCTCCCTGACATTAGCACAGCTCAAGTTGAATGTCAGTGACTTAAGGGTGCCTAGCTGAATAGCTTAAGTGTGGTTTGAATTATGTAATATTTTTAAGTGGCTTTTCCTTTATTCTATTTTTTAGATTTCAACTTGTGGGGTGATGTCCTTAATATAGTGTGACTTACAATGAGAGGAATAAAGCCTTAGGTGATTTGCTCAAGTATGTGTCACCACAGTAGGCCTTGGTTCTCGAAGAACTTCAGAAAGATTCCAGTTTAATTACAATCTGGTTTTTTAAACCATCTTGCAGCAGCATTACTGAATGATGTGTGTTTGTATCTGTGTTTCTGTGAAGAAAGACATCTGTGTGTTTGTGGTAAGATGTTCAGTAATTGGTGTAGTGGAATCAGTGCAGTGGAAAGTAATGCGTCAGCAGTGACTTGGAGAGACAGCAGGATGGAATGACTTCCTCAGCATGGACCTCAGCCTGCTGGGGAACCGTCTGGCCCCAAGGTTACCTGCTTCACCTCGTTGCTGACCCCAGACACATGGGCAGAAAAGGGAAATGTAGATTGGAATGGAAAGCTGTCAGGTTTTGTTATCAGTGGGTGGAAAGTCTAGTTTATTAGCATTTCTTTTGAACTTGCTGTGAATTTGTCAATTTTTCCCTGAGATCCCTATCTGGCCTTTAATCTGGGCTGGGTGCCACAGCTACTCACGCTGCCTTTCTCTCACAAGGATGCTGTTTATTGGTAGCCTGTAATGAGTATGCATGGATACGCTGAGCTTCTGGGACCTACCCAGCGAGATGAAAGAAACTTTAGGTGTGTGTGTGTGTGTTTACGAGGAAGGACTCAAACCTGGCGGTACACTGTGGGCAACAATCTCAGGTATGGAAATGAAGAACCAGACCATGCAATTTTGTTTTGAGATTGAGACTTGTTTTTCAGATTTAAGTTTAAATTTCAAACTGTAGGAATATCTAGCTAAAGAAAATTATTTAAAATTAACTAATGTATTCAAAAAAGCACTGCGAATATGGAGAAAAACGTATGTCTGAGAGCATACGCAGGCTCATATATTGTGTCAGATATGGACACAGTACAGAGTATGTATTTGGTATTCCAGGTCAGAAGATTCATAGTTATTGAGGTTTCAACTCTCCAATTTAATCTCCACCCTATAAATGTTCCCGGAATAGCCTTTGCTCAGCTGGAGAAAATTAGATTTTCTGGGTAAAGTGGGTGACAAGTTTATGAAATCAGACTCATGTGTGTGAGGGCAGTATTGGAAAGGATACAGGCATGACAGAAAGATCACAAAAGCATAAAATGTCCATTGAAGGACATAGTACCAAAAAAAAGTATATCAGACAAAATAGAAAATAGTTTAATTCAATATACAAATGGAAGCTGAATATAAAAATGTAAAATTTATGTATTTATAATTCTAGATATTCAATATGAGATGTGAAAAAAAATATTCAAGGAGGATCTCTTTGTGATATTTAGTAGGGTTACTATACATTGCAAAGAGAGCATGCTAAGCTAGTAGCATGCTCACACGCACGCACACATCCTCCAACCACACACACCCATATATTTTGCGTTTACGTGTGGACGAGGAATACAGAGTTCGTCACGCAACGTCAAAGGTATGTACCTTTTTTCACGTCACGCTGTGCGCCACGTTATTGTTTACATGGGATAAATTGCAGAATGGCAGATAGAGACAAAATACTGTTAATCTGACTATCTGCAGGTTTTACACGATTACATATACACACGCAGTTACTGTCCCTCCATTTACAAAGGCAGAGGCGTCACGGTGTGATTATTTTACGTGTAGTTGTTTTTTTTCCCTGTGTAATAATATTCAACATTGCTATCAAAAAATGCCTCTCTGTGCAAAATAGGTTTAAAAACATAAACCGCTGTGGGATACTGTTTGTCCGGGATTTGAACCGGGGAACAAATCGGCGGGATCAGCCTGATATTATTTGTATCCCACTGTAACTTTACTGTATAAAGTATAGTATAGTATGTATATCTCCAAAATGTCAGGAGTAGTTAGTCATTACAAGAAGTGTTTGTGAACTAAAAATCACGAATGTGGGATACTGTTTGTCCGTGATTTAAACACCCCAGCGCTGCTCCCCACGAAGGGAAAACCAATTCTGCAGGGGAGACCTACCTCGGCACTTGTGCAGGTGAAACCAAAGGGAAGATATGCTTCACCATATTTTCTAGTCTTTGGCTTGGAATGAAGTTGGTTTGGAAACATATTCAGTGATGCTTCATCTCCTCTTTGCGTTTCTGTGGGCGCCCCGTGCTAGCAGTGTCCAAACGCTTTGTCCCCCCCCCCCAGGGGGCGGGCCCCACACAGGTCTGCTTTACGGCAAGAACTACAATCAAGTGTTTGTGACAGCTGGCGAATGGCAACGAGTCTATCAAATTGCTTTGGACCAATTTCATCCAACTTTTTTGCAGACTTGTTTTCATTCAGCCACACTGGAGGGTTTTTGGCAAGTTGTCCAGAGCCTGAAGCATCAAAGAAGTCCCATACTGTTACACTATTATATCATTATCATCATAAACATGTTTGACATTGTTTAATGTCAGATGTAATGCAATTTGCAATTGCATTGCAAAGACGAAATCAGCAAGATGGCAAAATCTTTTTTTCAGAGCACTATAGAATATAGACTGTATATGAAGGATAGACCCAGTTTCCAGCCAATGTTTAACTGTCTTACATCTGCATTCTTTGTGAGAGGGGGCAAGGCTGGTTACAATAAGAAGTTCAGCTGCAGAAATCCCAAAAAAAAAAGACCCTTTGTCTAATGTGATCTCTGATCTCACTAATTATTTTCCTGATGAGTTCATGGCCTTACTGGTTTCAAGTGAAGCTGAATGTAACATAATGTTCTTTTGGTAAATTATGGACACTAGCAGAGGGCAGCACAGTGATGTGGTGGCTAGCACCTCACGCCTAAACGGTCCTTTCCATGTTCTACCCGTGTCTATGTGGGCTCTGTCCAGGGACAGTGCTGAATGGTGTGTGTAAATGGTTGGTTCTCTATGTTTTAGCACTGTGACAGGTTGGTGACCTGGCCAGCCTCTTGCTGTATGGCAATTGTGATCTCACCACCTGTGACTCTGAATCAAATGAGCAGAATAAAATGAATGGATGGTCTCAATGTGATCGCTACAGTCTTAGGAGGGAGTGTCCCTTGCTTTCACTGTCAGATCCATGCTTGATATTTAAGTCCATTTATAAAGCACCAATATGGAAAAAAGCACTAAAAACTTTACAACAGATGCTTCACTAAGCAATGAGTGACGTGTCAGTAGCCATGTCCATCTTTTATATTCAGTCCATTTACTTTTATTTTAATCATATATATTAAACATACATTTGTTTAATTTTTAATAAAAACACCCCAATGACTCCTGGCTATATGCCAGTCATATAGAAGAATTTCTTGTGAGCTCAGCACAAATGTAGCCTAAAGTAAACTTTAAATAATCCATCAGAATCAGCGCATCACTTTCTGTTTCCAGGTGTTTCTTGTGTAATGGTACATTTATTTTTTTATTATATATAAGAGATCACTGCATTTGATATGATTGGAATAATAAATCATGTTGGGTTAATTAACTTGTCCAAAACTGTGGAACGAGTTTTTTTTTTTATCATCATTATTATTATTCAACAATTTCACACAAGTCTGTTTCTGCAAAAATGATTCATAATTTACAAATTCACACATACTGTAATGTCATCTTGTGTCACAGGGAGCTCAGCAGACATCTTTCACCTTTCACACTTGGGGCAATACTGCTTGTGATTGGAATTCAAGTGCCAGATTTGTGTAGATACAAAAATCCCTCCAGTTTGCTGCCTATCATTTCTGTCATTCAAAGGCAATTTTCATCATAGCTTTTGTAAGGCATAAACAAATGTAGCGGGTGAGCAAATTTTGTGCAGCTTAGAAAAACAAAGACTGTTTTTGCCCCTCTGTTTTTATCTCCAATGATTACATATTTAGCCAGCAATATTTCCATATCAGAGGTTATTTTGTGACATACATTATAGTCTTTCAAATATCCAACTATTCTTTTAATTACTAATGATGGGAAATTTAATGTCTTGTAGTTATCTCTCTCTTATGTTAAACTAACTATAAATAACTGTTTAACTGAGCATGTTGTACTGTAGCTGTATAGAACATGTTTGCTTATTAGCTTTCACTGTTATACAGTGTGTAACTGTTGCTTCTATAAAGAAAAGACTGATAATTAAAGCAGTCAAAAAATAGGGAAAATATACACCAATCCATATTGCATATTTTTGTGAATTATACTGCACCCACAATGTCCCAATGAGATTATGTCATCACTTGGTGTGGATTCAGTGTGGCATACATGTGTATCCAGGGAATTCATTAGTGTCATTGGCAACATGGGCAACCCGAGGATAGTCTTTCCCTTATGAAGCAGCAGTGAAGTTTAGCTTATTAAAGATTATGACTAACTCAGGGATATTCACAACCAGCGGAGACATTAAAAAGCAACAAATTACTAGTTAGAGGCTTGTGGTTGCCTTGTGCCATAATTTCATCTTACAGTCTAGTACACGTGAGTATCATCTCGCTGTATTTAACTGTCAAGCTGTTTGGATAAAACAAGATGGCTTGTGCTGTCTATCCAATGGCCTAACTTAATCAGTCTTCAATAAAAAAGTATACATATAGTTTGCAGTTTTATCATTATCTAACAAGTGCAGTAGTATTTTTTTTGACTCTTGCCTTAAAATTCTACAATTCAATGATTAATGAGAGAAATATATTACTGTGTGTGCACACGCTTCATGCTCTCTCCCTTTCTATAATGAAAAACATGCACTCCTGGCAACCGAGGCTTCATTAACTCTTCACTCTAGAGAAATAGATGCAAATGAACACTGTTTGCTTTGCACATCAATGAGACACGTCACGCTCAATACAGGATAGCAATATGTCCTACACACATGCAAACTATACTTCTAGCCACATGTCAAGATGTACAGAGTCCCATAAAAAATATATATGCAATGCCACAAAGTACAAAAAAAGTGGAAGATGGTAAAAAAAAAAGAAGGGCGGCAGAGAGGACAGATAGAGTTGGGGGCAGCATGTGTTGTGTCTCCATCCATCATCAGTCTTAATGTGGCTCTGAGCTGTCTGGGTGCTGTGTCATTACATCCATAATGCCTGTTGCCTCTCACAGCACACACTATCTGTCAAAAGCATGCACACACACACACACACACACACACACAAAACTTCTGCACATGCAGTCATGCAGATTATTTGGTGGTTTTAGGTAAAACAGTTTAATTGTGTCTGTGCAAAGCCATTACTTGTCTGAGTACTATTCCTTGATATTGATGCCTAATGCAAGCGCTTTCTGTTTGTGCTGGAAAAATATTTGGTCGTGCTCTGCTGGGCAACTGGGGTGACAGTGAGGCCTGTGTGTGAATCTTAATGAATGTGTTAAACTGTGTTGTCCATATCTCTTTGCTAAGCCTTCTAAAGATGATTGCAGAAAACCCACAAAGGCATGAAAATGTTTATTTTACAGCTGCACACAAAATCAAAATGTAATTAGAGTATAATGTATTGAATTCTGCTTATGTTGGTGGGTTCGTGACGTATTTCTTTTTCATGTGCATGCTTTCTTTTGATAAATGAGCTTCTCATGTGTATTTGTTCATCCAGCCACCATTGTGCTGAATGAATTAACCTGGACGGAGGAACTGAAGGAAGTGTTTAGAAAGAATAGAGAGGATGACCCAACCCTACTCTGGCAGGTGTTTGGCAGTGCCACTGGCCTGGCTCGCTATTATCCAGGTATGGAAACAAAGGGGGGGGACAACAACAACCCAAACATTGCCTTTGAATAGGTTTTTATGTGTCTGTTCATATAATTCTGAAGTTGTATGTGCTTAAATACACACTGCTTAGTAATTGAGATGAGAGGAGATTAGATAGCCTTTATTTGTCAGTTGCAGTTGCCCACAACCGAGATGACAGACCTTGCCGACCGTACACACAATACACAAACATCACATTGGGGAGACAGGTCAGGCTAGGTAGCGAGGGAAAAAAAAACATTGAAATGTGTAACAAAAAAGGATAATCCAGGAATGCACAGATATTAACACACCATAACACAATAAAACACAGACAAGCAACATGGGAGAATATGCTACTGTGTACAGCTGGATGTGGGACCGCTGCAATCTTCGATTGTGCCTCCAGCTGATCCGCTGTCCGCATAATTAAGCTCACATTGACTTTATGTGCGTCTGCACTTGTCTATTGCTGCTCCCTCTTGTATGCGTGTTATCTTTGCCAAGCTATTTCTATTCATGAGATTCCCTGTCATCATCGACTCTATAGCTTTATGACAAAAGTTTATGTCTCATATTCATAAATTTGCATTGGCTTTGATTTATCCTTTCTTTTACTTCTTAGCATGCATGAAAGGCAGTCACTCACTCTCAGTATACTTCCTTGTTTTTATGGTGCCCTTCACTAATAGCTGTGCATATCCGATAAATAATTTGTGCATGTTTTCCCTCCTCATAAATATTTTTAGTGATCTTAAAACATGTTAAAATGTAGGTGGTGTAAATAACTGATCGATCCAATAAGCCTGTCATTATGTCACAGAATGTAGTTATGTACACAACGGCTCCTGAGCAGAATATGACACTAAATACTGTATGATTTTATCATATTAGTCAAATATATTAGAAATTTAGCCAAAATAGTATTTAGTGTGCTGTTTTTTTGTTTGTTTTTCTGCTTTAATTGTGATGAAAACTCAGTACATCTCAAATCTCGTCTTTTAGCTTCTCCCTGGATGGACGCTCGTAAGACCCCTAGTAAAATAGATCTCTACGATGTGCGCAGGAGGCCATGGTAAGAAAACTGGCTCAAGGATAACAGTGTTAGTCAGAATACAAAACTTAAACTTTTATGTCATTATGTGTCTTTGTATATCTATGTCATTGTTTACATGTAGAGCTAATTAGATGTAAGCAGGGTTTTTTTTAATTCAGTCAAATAATTCAATCAAATAATGCCTATTGCATTTCAGTGGAATACTGTTATGATTATTATTACTGTGCAAATTTGGAGAATCAATTTTTTAGTCTTTAATTGATTGTTCCGTGAAGGTTGTATAAATTTGAGTGCATTCACACAGCACACAAATTGTATTCACTACAGGAATAAAGGTTTTTTTTGTGAAAAAATTTTGTATTGCTCTAAAAATAATCATTTGTAAAAACAGCTAATTGTTGATTGCTTTGAATAGCTACTGATTTGACCTTTTTTCATCTTTAAATCATTGCCATGGCATTATTAACATAATGCCATCCATATCACTCAGTCTTATATTAATATGACAATGAAAATATGGCTCAAGTGTGTAAAGTGTTATTGTATTTTCTCAGCATAAATGATTATGCAAATGGTTGGCCCTCAGAGTATATGTGTCTCAGTCCAGAAATGTGTTTGCATTCATTTATGACCATCTAGGTACATTCAAGGAGCCGCCTCACCGAAAGATATGCTAATTCTCGTGGATGCGTGAGTTGTTTGATAATCTTACTGATCCATAATCTTCCTGCATCCATCATGATTTCCCCTGATTGAAATGCATGCCTTTCTAGCTTTGCCACATAGTGTAATGTATTTCCCAAGGCAGAAGCAGTTCTAATTACATCGAGTAAAATCTCACAGGACAAGAACTGAGCAGACAGATTGCTGTGAGAAGCTGTCAGGTATTTCTTTCTTGGTTTTTTTTTTTTTAGGAGTGGGAGTGTGTCTGGCTTGACGCTAAAACTGATCAGGACCTCTGTCAGCGAGATGCTGGAGACTCTTTCTGACGATGACTATGTCAACGTAGTCAGTGTGAGTATTATTAGACTGCCCACTTGCTGAATGTTGGGTGGTCTGTTTATTGAAGGTGACGGGGGGGGGGTGTCAGAATTTACACCCAGTTCGTATCCATTCACATACATCTGTACACATATACACAACAAATGCCCATACACAGACACACACATATACACACAAATAAAAGAGAGGCAGAGAGATGGATGACCAGTAACGAAATATGGATTTCTCTCTGGTCTGGCCACCATGAAACAGGCCTTTAATGAAATACCCACTGCTCTATTTGGTGTACAGGATTAAAACTCTGCAGTACATGGCCCCTCCCCACCTCTAGGCCCTCAAATGTGACCGAGGCTGTGTATGTCCATTCCCAACGCTCCTAAAGGAATTAAAGCTGCACCTCTGACTGAAGTGAACCCCAGGAAACATTTATCACCCTCTTGTTCTCTCCATCATTTGTTCTTTTCATCACTGAGCCATGCAATTCCTGTCAGCATTTCACCATATACCTCCATTCATCTCTTTGTGTCAATGAATGCCCTTCCTTTACACTGTATGCCTTCACTTTTCTATACACAGCCAAGAAACATTCTTCTTCTCACTATTCCTTCTGTTTTTTACCTTCATTTTTACTTTTCTCGCCCACCCATCACTTCCGTTATATTCTTTCTCTACAGCTTTTCATTCTCTGGCCATCTATTCTAAGCTTTCCACACTTGTGATTACACTTGAATAGAGCCAATCAGGAGATTGTGTGATGCGTAGATGGGTGCCTGTGGAGGTGTTTATTAAGACAGGTCTTTATAGAGATTGGAGCTGTCTTCGTTCTCCTTGCAAATGACAGCCATTCTGACTTTCTTTCCTCTCTCGAGGGACCTTTTGTCTTGGACGTAATGTATTCGGTTTCATGGTGGACTTTTGATTCTGCAAAGATGTGCAATTATTGGCTACTGTTGGTGTGTGTGTGTGTGTGTGTGCGTGTGCGTGTGTGTGTAAAATGAGATGGTGAGAGATTTGTAGAGACACTGAAATCCAATTCAGTTTTGACTCAGTTTTATGACTTCTGAACTTGAACCCTTTAAAAGTACAGTGCATGAGATATGATGAATCTATAGTCCAAAGAACTTGCCTGGTTGTATCAAGGTACTAAAAACTTCATTTAGGTTTGTTGCAGTTTAGACAAGTATTAAGACTCAAACTAGCCAGCAGTATACCTATTTTATATAGTCAAGAACAGTAAACTAAAGTTTGGTTGATAATTTTAACAATAATTCTTAGGGCTTATTTGCAACCTGTAATATCATACGGCTACCTGTTTTCATTGTTCCAGTCTCTCTTTTTTTACATTTCTATTTTTTTTTAGCAGTTTTGTCTTTTTAGCTGTCAACAATATTATTTGCTAAGCATAATGTCAGTATAACAAACATGAAGGGTATCAAAAACAACAAGACAGCTAAAGTCAAAATGAAATGGATTTATAATATTCCTGCTGCAATATATCAGTTACATAATGGTAAGTCAGTGTCAATTTCCTCCTGTTTCAGCAAAAATCATTATTCCTTCTGTCAGTCACCCCTCACCATATCTATTTCTTTCTGTCATTGATTCACTCATTTATGCACGCACACGGACACACACACACACACACATGCATACACATATCCACTGCCCGATGTCTGGTCCTCGGGGTGTTGTTACCTGTCACTAAATCATTAGTGTCTGATATTACCCACAAATCCCTCCTCATTATCAGTAGCCCAGGGACTAAGTTGGCATTTGGTCACGGAAGATGCTCGCGCTCGTTCTTCACAGCAGGTCAGGTCAGACGGTTGCTGATGGCTGCCTCTCTTCCTTTCCTTTTTTGCTTTCTCTCTCTTTCTGTTTTTTTACCCTTGTCTTCTCTCTTTCCCACACCTCTCGCACCACAAGCCTCCACCACATTTATCCAGCCTGCTCAGCCATGTTTTGCCGGCATCAATCTTTTAGCCAGCGCCAGTCCAGTGAGCATGCCGGAGTAGTAAACCAGAATAGAAGACAGTCCGCTGGGATTAGAGCTTGAAGATTAGTCTTCTCTCTTGCGTCGTCACTAATCCATTCCCAAGGCCTGGACCATCACACACACATATAAGGGCTGTTGTAATAGGATCACGGCAGAATAGTGGAATTTGCGGTAGACTGCGTTCACATTCATGTGCAGGGCCAAAAATGTAGTCTTACAATGAAAGAATATGGCTTTTTCTTAGTCATTCCACAGGTCTCTGTATAGCAGTGTTTATTTTTGTTTAATAAAGTAATTAAATCAGATAAAACTATAATTCTCTGTCACGTACCCTTTATGGGATCATTATTCTCTAAAGGCAAACACCTCACATTCGTGCTTAACCCCCCCACCACCACCACACACACACACGTTCTCTTCCTCTCACTTTCTGCTCCTCACCATCCCACATGCTAGACCCACCTTCTTCACTTCTGCTTTAGATAGATTATGTGATAACAGATTCCCATCTGCTCTACACAGTCAGTCATGTGAACTTCCATTGTGTGTTTTGGTGTTTTGTGTTGTGCGTGTGCCATAGCCAATATTGTATTGCTTTCCGGTCCAGCAGAGATGTGTATGTCTGTTATTGTCATTCTAAAAGGAACTTCAAGGCTGCCTGGTTCCCTGGAAACGCACACAGACACACATGCACACATACTGATCAAGGCACACATATAGTCAGGGCTCTTTTTGCCTCCTTGCTTGTCTTTGTACATCAGTGTTTCAGCCTCCCTATCGGCCATCTCACAGAGATGCATTGATTAGTTGAGATCGATGAGGTGCAGTATTGTTTCAGAAGAGTTCTGCTACACAATAGATGTGCTGGGAATGGGACAGCTGGCTGCTCTGCTGTCCCATGCCCTTCCCGCGCTGTCATTAGAAGTTCTTTTTGTGTATTTAATTTATTCTGTCTTTTTACTTATTGCCATTGGGAGTTCTTTTAAAATGCCTTTCCTCCTCACTTCTAGGCACTCCTGAAGCAAACTCAAACGTACCTCTTTTTTGGGGGGGGTGGAGTATTTGTGCATGTGTGCACTGTGAGGTGGAAATAAGCAAGTCTCACCTTTAAAAAAAGACGGTGAGGTTGCCTAAGCTCGTTTCTATATAACAGAATCTTGTTTCCATGGGTACCAAATCGTTGAGCTCTGAGGATGTGAAGCAATTAGTGGAGCTTGATGAATGTGTCTGTTTACCACTGCCTGATAACAGCCAAGGCCAGGTGGTAGTGTTTGTGTGTCTGTGTGCGTGTGCTGCATTTGTATGATGCGTTGAATTTGCACACACGTTATAATTGTATGAATAAATTTCAGGTCATAACTCCTGTCCTGTCTGTTACCCAGTTTAACACACTGGTGAAAAACACGGCGTGCTTCGACCGTCTGGTTCAAGCCAACGTGAGGAACAAAAAGCTGCTGAAGGATGCCGTGCAGAACATCAGCGCTAAAGGAATTACAGACTACACAAAGGGCTTTGAGTTTGCTTTTAAGCAGCTCTCTGCGGTAAGAAAAACGTGTTATTTTGTCTGATTTTGGGCTGAGAGAGTGCACAAGTTGTAAAGCAAGTTTTGAATGAGTGTTGCCTCCATTTTTGTTGACAGCTTCAGATTGTTGTGTTTTACTGCCATCTGCTGGTTAAATGTGTTGCCTCAACTGCCTGGTCAGTGAAAGAAATAATGCAATGTTACATTTGATTGACGAGAACCTCAGTAATAATTGAACATTTCCAAATATTACCTCCTACTGCTATTTCCTGAACACATTTCCTTCATCTGATAGAAAAATCCATGAGGTCAGAGAAAGGTGTGAAGGAGAATTTATAGTGACTCAGGAAAAGAGATGCAAATGCACCTGCAATTTTGCCGACTCCTTAATAATGTGACACTATAATGTCCAGAAGATGGACTACAAAATGTGCGTCTTGGGGATCCAGTGTAACTCGTTTTCTCCCCCTTGTTTAGAATTTCTACTAATAAAGTAAAATTCGCTCCAACCTTAAATGCACCTCAATCAATTTTATAGCTCATAATCTCGATTTGAGTCTGTATAAATCTACATTCTTCATGCATTGTTGGCAAGAAGCAGATTTTATTGCAGCAGTGTAATGTTCATAGTCCACCTGTAGGTTTAACAGCCTGCTGTTGAAAATTCAAAACCTATCAGCAGGTTGTCGCGTGAAATAGCTTTTAAAACGCTTTTAATTAACATTTTCATGATCTGTGCCACTTTGTCAGGTTTGTTGACGCTATAAATTTTGGGATGTTATTGTCTCATTTCCTGTCATAAAGGATGGTTCAGTTTATCCGGTGCCAAAGGAGCTAATAAAGGAAGCACTGAAGCACATTTCAGTGTAATTAGAGATTTCAAACCTCTTATTATAGCTAACAAACAGAAACGTCCAGGACAGTTCCCTCAATTATGAACTTTCCTAATTGAAATTGACTATTCAATCCCGTCCCTTACTTTTTACTGAATAATATTAATGCAGGAGGTTAGAAGTAGTGCATATTTGATAGGATCCAGAGTAAGATGCTTAGAATTTCTGCCAATGAATCTAAGCAGCTGTTCATAACCTTTTCTGCTGGACAAAGCAAAAATATATGTCACTATATGAAAAGCAGGTGGATCTTCATAACAAAAGGTTTTATCTATTGGGCGAAAAACGTAGGATTTGTCTACTCATTTATATATATATATATATATGTCATCTTCATAGATAGAGGCTGCATTGTGGTGGAATGGTTCACACTGTTGCCTCACAAAAGAAGGATCTTCTTCTTTCTTCTTCTGGGCTTAAATCTGCTGTCTGAGACTCCTACAATACCCAGGCTTCCTAACAGTATAAAAACATGCAGGCTTTCTCTGGGATAGAAGAAAATTGCCTTTAACCCTCTCAGGCTCAAATTAAACTTTTTGTTGCTAATGCACAACCAAGTCCTGCAGTGGTACTTCTGAGTAAAAAAAAAAAACTCTATGTATGTGGGGTAATCAGGTTGTTAGTTTTAACTGTTGCAAATCGGCAACGCCTGCCTTGAGAGGGTTAACAATTTTTTTTAAGTTGCGTGGAGTATTGATTATCCAAAATGGGTGTTTTTGATGGAAATGCTAGATAAAATCTTATCTAAGCAACAATGCAAAGCAAAGGCTTTAGTGAATGCCTGAATATTTTTCTCCAAAAGAGTAATTGATCCATGTGCCCACAGCATATGTGGCTAAAAACATGACAAATAATTAATGTCCATGTTTATTTTCTTTGATAGACTAATGTGAGCAGAGCAAACTGCAACAAGATTATCATGCTGTTCACTGATGGAGGAGAGGAGAGAGCCCAGGCCATATTGGAGAAATATAATGCTGACAAAAAGGTATACAAAAGACACACATACACACACGTTTCTATCATTATAGAGGACAGTTAACTTGCATAAATTCCTTACCTTCTCAAACTAATTCTGCCATACTTTGAAATTTAAGGATGAACATTTTGGGGACTTGCTTTATGTTCAGCAGTGGAAGTGGGAGCAAATAGATTTACATCACACACACATTATGAATAATACAAACACACACACCAACAAACTTGTGTGTGTGCTACCTCTTGGAACTCCCTTTGGGTTGTGTTTTCTGTGTGCACATTCTCTTTATGGAAAATTTTTTTCACAAGGCAGATGAGGGTGTGAAACTAAGGCTTCACACAGTTTCCGAAATAGCTGTGATGCTGTGCAACATATGAACAAAAGCAGAACTGAATGCCTCTGCAAAGGAACCAGGCTAAAGTATGAAATTTCCATTTCCTGCTTTATGCTTCCTTAAAAATGTAAACTCCTAGATTAACATGCAAAAACCAGATCATTGCATTTGTTATAATAAAACTTGAAACTCAACGTTTTTTGAGCTCAAACTCATTTAAGATGGAAAGCTTTCCTGTGGTCTGACAAATTATTTATTTTATTCTACCCTGGTCCCCACATTTTCCAAAATTCTTTGAGTTTCATCATTTCACATGTTGTTTTTGTACTATTTTCAAATAAATACAGGTTCTAAATGGTCTGTAACTCATTTCATTTATTCACACAAGGATTTACACAAGGTTGCATCACATTTCAACATGTCAAAACAGGAAAAAGATTACATATGATGCTCAAAGTCACATGATCAAAGACAGATTTCACCTTTATTTTGTGTTCAGCTTCAAATGTGTTAAATTGATTAATAATTACAAGTATTTACATTAACTTTTTGTAAAACAATTTTTCTTTGTTGGTTTTTCAACATTGTAAGAGGTAACATGGAGAGATTTTTTTAACCTTATGCTTCAGGTTAGGATCTTCACCTTCTCAGTAGGACAACACAACTATGACAAAGGACCCATCCAATGGATGGCCTGCTCGAACAAAGGTACAACACTGATCCCAGCATGCATCTGTGCTTAATCTGTTCTTAGTATTAGATAACATTATGTTCTGCTGAAGAATTATTTCTATGATTAACTTGGAATATTTAAGGACACCATAAAACATGCTAGAAATGCTCAAAGGGCACAGCATGAGCACAGGACATCCTTGGCCAGATGACGGAAATCTTAACAGGAATGGCTGTCTTTAATGAGCCTTGTGAGACTAATCAGTAAACAATCTCTTCAGTGATGCACAAGCAAGAAATCTGGATGGCAGTTATTTCATCTATTTATTTGTGTCTTGTAACTCAGCTGACACAATCAAATGTTATGATGCAGTAAATTAAACTGCAGATTTACACCCTGCATCATTTACTCCTACTTGGTGTTTTATTCATACCTACACACTATCTATTGTTTCCTAATCATCTATCCAGGTTATTTCTATGAGATTCCATCCATAGGAGCCATCAGAATAAACACACAGGTGATTTTTTTTTGTGTTTAACATTAATTAATGTTAAACAATGAACGAATATGTTTTATTTGAAAGAATCTGCAGTATTAAATGATGTTATGTGTCCAATTTAGGAATATCTAGATGTCCTGGGAAGACCTATGGTTCTAGCAGACAAGCAGGCCAAACAAGTCCAGTGGACTAACGTATACCTTGATGCTCTGGTATGTATTTTGCAATTTATGTTACAAATTCTTTTTTTTTTTAATGAAAAAATCACCCATTTTGCTCCCAGTCCCATTTGCTCAAGAATATTGCTAAATAGGGCTTTTGCTTTATTCTCGATCAGGAGCTTGGTCTCGTCATCACTGGAACGCTACCTGTCTTCAACAGAACCAAGACCATAGATAAAAGAAACGAGGAGGTATAGTAAATGAATGCATGAACACATCACGTGAGGGCTCGTATCTGTCCTTATCTTTTCTCTCATACTTCCCATTAGCACCAGAATCAGTTGATTCTTGGCGTAATGGCGATTGACGTGTCTCTTGATGACATCAAGAAGCTCACACCACGCTTCACAGTGAGTGTACCACCCATACCCGTGTGTGATCACATGCATGGAGACAAATGCGTTTGTTGTAAAGGAGCAACTTTACACGACTTGCTCAGTTGTAAAGCACTTGCTCGGATGTTTCCCTCTGGAGCAATTAGTGAGTGATGTGATTCATTAGATGGCTTGTTCTTTTCAAGTCTGTTTAAAAAAGGTCACGCACTGATAAGACTGCTTTTGTTATCAGTTACTGGTCCTTTTTCCATGGTGTACTCATGTTTTTTGGACCAGTGGAGCTGCTCTTTTGTACAGTGCCTTGACATGTCAAAAAACGAACATAATCACGGGATTTTATGGACTCACATATTATATTCCCTTTCCTCTGTACCTCTTTTTTTCATCAGATTGGTCCAAATGGTTACTACTTTGCCATAGATCCCAATGGATATGTGCTGCTGCACCCCAATCTCCAGCCAAAGGTATGGCGTCTGATCTTGTACATAACTTTGTGTGGCTGAGTAGGTCCATATCTGAAAGCATTAAATTATATGTATTTATCATGATTTCACAGTAACTGTTTGCACTCAGTAAATATTATTCTGGTTAGCATATGGTGCGGTCTTCTTTCAAACTTTCCCATGTTCACCACGTCACCTCATCAGTCTTCATAAAGAGAATCTATCCCTCTGTTAGAGTATGACTTGCTATCATCAGTCCTCAGATATTGGCTAGAAGGTCACTCTCCCCTTATGGGATTAAATAGATATATAGACTTGGCAAAGAATATTTTTTAAGAGTAGCAATTACTGCATTCAGTCTCAATAAAAAATAATTTAATGTTTTAGTTTAAAAAAATTAGATAATATATATTTAAAGCTAAAATATGAAGGAAACGCTTCCATATAAAGCAACCAGGATGCCACCGAGCATACTAACTTTCAAGCTGCTTTTTTTGACCTGTCAAAGGCTCCGATTCATCTTACAATTCCTCAAAGAAAAGCACTAGTGCTTCTTGCCACAGGCATGTATTAAGATGTGGCCCATTATGAGTTAGCAATAACCTCACAGATGGTCTCTGCCTACTTTTCAGCAAATCTCTGTGCATTTCACTACTTTCAGCCTGAGGCAAATACACACTCAGAGCCTCCATAAGGGCAATATTCTGCCCAGAACTTTAAAAAAGCAACTCTTAAATCCTTTAAGACGCACTTGCGCTATCAATCCACTGTCCACACTCAGCTCCATTAAGACAAACATGTATGGAGCCACTTATTTTAAATAGTAAACATGAGAAAAATAAGGCAGCCCTGGGCTCAAAAAGGTTATACCACCTCAGCACTGAGTATTTTTATGAATCTTGATGTATTTCTGTTATTGTGCTTATTGCAAAGCTATATAGTGTTTGTTTGATCTGTTTTGCAAACTTGTGCATGTTTCTTTTTTCTTTTTAGTCTCAACAAACAAAAATAAATCCTCCATCTCAAAAAACTTCAGAGAAATCAAAGTGTATCTCTGTATCTTTTTTCATAAATTTCCTAGAAAAGAATCCGTAACAGGAAGCTCAGACTCAATAATAAGTATGCTGTCACTTTTCATGAGGTGAGATAAAGTAGATGCACTGTAGCTTGCAGAAGTAGTCATGTAGTGTTTTCTGTAGATGAAGAGATTTCAGTGATGAAGAAGCAATAACCACAGGTAAATATCACCTTTTGCAGAGGGTATTACTGCTCCTTTTAGTAGTTTGCAATTCTGTCTGAATCGCCTATACGGAAGCCATTCTACTTTATTCTGTTGCTTGTGATTATTGCTCTGCTGCTATATATATTGTTTGTTTTTGCCATTATGCACCATCCATCAGTGTGGGTTTATTCTGTCTCAACGCTGGTTCTGACAAAAGTGAAAACTAGTTAGTCGTTTAAAACACATAGATGCCATATGCCACTATTTTTAGTTAAACTGAAAGATGGCAGCATTAGATTAATAAAAATATATAGTGAAATTAATCCAAAAAGTTAAACATATGATTTTTTTTAACCTTTGTAGAGAGTATATTTGCTGCATTTGCTATTCTCCAACATTTCCATGGCTGCTTGTACTTTCCTTGTATACGTGAGGTGAACAACTACACAGAAGCAGACACTGTTTTATCATTTTACTTGTTTTCTGCTTTTTTATATCAGTAATGTGACAATATGAGTTTAGATTTCTTCAAATCTGTATAAAAAGGCATGGAAGCCTAAAGCAGTCTTACTGTAATAACACACATACTGTACTCAACCATACATAAGCATCAAAGCTATTCTCTGAATGACCTCATGTTCACGTGGCATTCAAGCAAGCTATTTTCCCATCAGCCCACCACACACTTTTTAAATACAGTATGTAAGGCTTATTGTCTGAATGGGAGATTGTATGAATACTGATGGGGCCCTCTCTTTCTTTTTCTCTCTCTGTCTTTCACACTGCCTCGGCTCTCTCTGTATTAGATTATGTTTGTGCATATTTCATATTCATCACGCAGACCTACCCTGCTGCTAGAGTGTTTTCATTCTGATCTCACACCCCATCTCTGCTCACTACATTGTTGACATACATCGCTCCCCTACTTTGTTATCCTTTCTTTTCTAACTCCTTACGTCTCATTTGATTTTTTTTCTTTGCCTTTCCCACCATCCACCGTTCCCATTTCCCTTCTCTTCATTTCCTTTCCTGTCTAACTCGTGTTTGATGTTTCATTCTGTATCAACCAGTGTTGTACCTCTTGATCTTTTATTCTTTCTTTTCTCGTTTTCATGCTGAGATGCTTCGTCGTCGTCATCTTCCTTTGTTGCTTCAATTTATTTCACTTACATGTAAGAACCTTGACCGATGCCCTTTAGTGTAAATGATTTTTCTAGTTAGTTGCTTTTCTTGTCCATGTGCATTTGCCACAGTAAATCATACTTCATTTTAAAACTTAAAAAAAAGCAAAGTTATTCCTCTGTATCCAACATAGCCAACTTTACAGTCAAATTCTGTGTGTTTTGAGCTGCAGTACGGCTTGCACAATGTATACCACCGTGCAAGAATCTATATAGAAAACATCACTTCAACACTGCTATGCTCTCACCACCCAACCCTTTATTTTGAGTGAAGAACTATGAAGGACACGCTGGTATCAGATTCCATGTACTGCTGTTTTATAGAGAAGCACAAGATTACTGCTACTATTTTATACCACCATAAAGCCACTCAGACGTATAAGGTTTTTAAGAGAGGACATTCATAGAGTTCAGTGTCACTTTGTATCAAATCTGATTTAGCTGTGTCTGATGTCAGATATGCTGTCAAACTGCTACCATATGTTAGCCTTTATTTTTTATTCCCAAGATTTGACTAGATTCATGTGTTGAGGAAAATTAATGAACTGACTCAAAAAGAACATCTCAAATAACTGATGTCTCGTTCGTATTAGTAACACCTAAATGCATATCTGCTGCCTACCTACCCAGTACTGTAGTACACCATCTGTTATACCATCTTCTTTTTCCACTTAAGGGTTTACTCCTTAACTGTTTTTTCATAAATCTTAGATCTTTAACCGTGGTCTAAAAATGTTCCCAAAACTACTAAAAAGCACATTTTTGTTAATAATGTTATTAAGGTAAAATTAAGGTTGTTGTCTCCTTGTTTAAGTATCTAAACACAAACACAATAATGCATATTTGCACATGTTTACATTTTTTGTTAGGGTTTTTTGTGCCGTTTATATGAATAAAACCTTTTAAAATTATGGAATAATGTGTTGTATAGCCTTTCTGACCACATCAAGCCAGTCCCTTTAGACACATAAGTAGTTGTGGGAGCCAAATTTCAAACATGGAAGACCAGAAGTGATCACAACTACAAAATTAGCTTTTAAGAAAAGGAAACAAAGGGAAGCGACACAATATGAACCTATTCAGCTAAACTGCTCATAAGAAAATTTACAGAAAATAAAGAAGTGACGCAGACTGTCTATGATAACTGTGCAGAATTGTTTTAGTTTGATACGTGTCACTCTTTGGGAAATTGCAGAAAGCTGTGTATAAGACAAGACAGATTTTACTGTTTTATTTTATGTCAGCATTAATAAAATATAATTCTTTTTGGTGACTTTACTATTCTTAGTGATACACTTTGAAAAGGTTGATGTAGATGAAACTGTCTTACTTGTCCATCCAAGTTACAAAATGCAGAGGAATCTGTGGTAGACTGATGATGAATAACAACTGCAAAATGGTCCGCTGGAACATTTTTCTATATTAGCTCAGTAGACTTTAGATTAATTGATATGTCTGAGTGAATTTTATATTACAAAACTCATATATTATTTCGAGCTCAGCTAATCAAAAGTCTATAGTTAAATCAAAATTCTCTTTTGTTTTGATTACACTGATCCTGTCAGTGTGATTGATTAAGCTGTCCTTAGTTAATCTAAAACTGTGCCTCTCTCTGAGTGAAATATTATTCTTTCCACAGAATCCTAAATTTCAGGAGCCTGTTACTCTGGACTTTCTGGATGCTGAGTTGGAGAACGACATCAAAATAGAGGTGTAGTATATAGAAGCACGTCAAGTGATTTTCCAGGTTGTCTGACTAACTTGTTTATATGAAGCCATGAGACAAACTGTTAAAATAATCTATTATTATCAGTCAATCAGATTTTTAAAAAAAAGTGTAACTGTGCTGTTTGTTTGTCTCGATGTGTAGATCAGGAGAATGATGATTGATGGTGAAACAGGAGAGCGCACCATTAACACTCTGGTCAAAACTCAGGATGAGGTAAGGCAAACCCAGCCACAAGCTACATTATATCTTCAATGCAAAATTATATTAACTTTATGAATGAGGCACTGAGAAATACTACAGGTACTATAACTGAAAATGATTGAGCCATATTGACATCAGAATAAATATGTATTTCAAGCTTTCTTAAATGTTTACATTTATAACATTTAAAGAGTTACAACTTATGTAGAAACATTTTTAACTCCTGCTACAAGAAAACAGTTTTTGTTCTTGCTTGCTATAACGAAGGTCCTTTTATGTGAGGATAGTTTGGACTATTTTTGCACCACAAGTGAGGCGCTAATGATGTGACAGAGCTCCTGGTTTGGGATGAAAATAGTTTCTTTGTAACAAATTTATTTATTTTTCCACAACTAAAAGGGAGCTTGATACATAACTTTACTATTTACAGAACAATTCTGAATTCTCTTTTTTGTATGCACCATCTGTTGCAGAGGTATATAGATAGTGGAATCAGGACCTACACGTGGGCACCAGTCAATGGAACAGACTACAGGTGACACATATTACAAAAAATGTTGTATTAAATATATATTTTTTAAGGATGCTCGAGCAGTTTAATGTAAGTTCAAACCCAGTTAACACTGAGACATCAAATATTGGAAGATGCTGCTGTACCTAAGCCAACAGGGGTCACTCTCTTGTTTCTAACACCAGCCTCTGTTGAATGAGAAATACATTGAAGAGATCACATGTGTAGTCAACCATAAATGCATTCCGGAAAAACAACTCTTTGGAAAGCATCCTTTATTTTTTTATATATTTAATGTATAATTTCCTACTTACTGTACAATTTTATTCTGATGATGCTACCTTTGAGTCTGTCTGTGATCATATTTTCTGCAGCCTGGCTCTTGTGTTGCCTAAATACAGTGAACACTTCATTCAAGCTAAACTGGGGGATGATATTAAACAAGCCATGTGTAAGTATGACATATACAGCGACGATAACCAGCATGCAAACAAATCATTACCCCCATGCATACTGTCTTTGGGTTTTTCTCTTGAGTGTCCCCACTTGCTTTGTACTGCTTGTTCATAGCTGGAACCATAGCGACTCCTTTGTATTTACTCCTCAAAACTGCCAAATCCCTACAGAGTTTCTCTTTTCTAGTGCAACCCACTGGTCAGTCACCCTTCGCTCCCACACACACTCTTCCACATGCTTTCTCTCTCACATACCCAGCCCAAGCACTGGGTCTTTTGATCTTATCTCTTTTTTTTTTTGCTCTTCCATCCTTCTTTACTCCCTTCATTTGGGCTTCTCTCATCTCCTCATTATCATCTCCATTACCAAACTGGTTGTTTTTCTTTTCCTTTTTCTTTTTTTTTTTTGGACATTACACTTTTAAAAATATTTCTTTGGCCAATTATGTCTTCCATTCTGTTGTTAAGTCCAACATTTCTTTCCTAAATTGTTAACAGGGTGATGACCTACCTTAAGCAGACGTACCTTACCCTGGATTGTTTTCCCTGACTCTCAACTTATTTCTCTGTCTCTCTATCTTATCTATAAACCTGTCCTCACCTCACACTCTTCATTCTTCTTGATACCCCTCTCCCACCACCCCCATGTTCGTTTTTTTCTTTGGCCGATTTATTTATTTTTTTCACTCTGCGCTCCAAAAGCTCTCTGTATAATGCAAACTGGCTGCTTCTTTTAACACCTCAGAACAAATGTACATAGCGAATGTAATAGTTGCTTATAAATCATGAAAACACAGCTCAGGCACACGCTAACATGCACACATTCTGTGTGCCACTCTTTGTACAATTGCTTGCATTTTGATTCTGATGCAGCTTTTTCTGTCTCTTCTCCTGCTTCTGAACCGGGATTTTACAGCTTCTTCTTGGGGCAAGTACTCACTGTTCTGTGTCCTCTGTTTCCTTCTTGCTGTGTGATGCTCTTCCATTGCATAAACCTTTTTGTCCTTTATTGTTTGCATTATTGCATTGAGATGTTTATCATCTTATCAAAGCACAGAGGGCCATTTTAGTCAAGGGTTAAAAGTGGCTGAAAAAAAGCACTGGATTTGGCATATCTGGCTTTAGTTAATTTTTTGCTAACTTTGATGTAAACACCACAAAGCATAAGCAATAGTGTAGCTATTCCAACAGATGAGATCTTGACTGACTCTTTCAGCCTTTGTATCGCTCCCTCGGTTACCGTAACGACTTTGTCACTGTGCCATAAATGCTGTCAGAACGTTTACAGGCCTGTTAAAGAAAGTAGCATGCTGTGCCTCAGTGCCACAGTCTGCACTGATAGGAAGATTGGACTCTAAAGTTCTCCATACAGCCATATTGAGTTTCCATTTGGGGCCAGACCACCAGAACACCACCTTAATCCAGCTTATCGAGTGAACTCACTCACTTGTTCTCTAGGATATTAGAAATTGTCCTTAAAGCAATGGGTATGGTGGATGAATATATGTGGGACTTTTTCTTTATCTATATAGTGGAACTTTATATTTGTTGATGTGACCCAATACCGTGGTAGAGGAAGTGATGAGAGAAAAGTAAAGACATAAAGACACCCTTCCCAGTCTATAGAGACACAGCAGCGATGAATCTGCTTGTTATATTTTATATGTGAAGGACATTGTTTCATCCTATGACCCCAAAGAAACTCAGCGCTCAGTAATTGTTTTTGCAGACTGCACCGCACGAGTCAATATATTTTAAAGGCAATGTCCAAAAAACTCTTCATTTTAAGAGACTACAGAATGATGGCCATTGATGCTTGCCATGTCATTTATACGATAAGAATTACCAGACTGTTTTTTTTTAATAAAATCCAGACTTGCAGCAAGTAACACCCTGGAAGAAAAAATTTCTCATATTGTTTTATATTTACATCTTGTTTCCATGCATTCCCACAGTCTACCCCACCTTTCATTGTTTTATGTTCTGTTCTGTTCTTTTCTACAAAGTGCAATCAGTCTCTGTTATATACATATTCAAGGTTTGTCTATTAGTCCTAATATCCTTTCAGTGCAGCATAGTATTTCATTACCTACTGTAGGGAATATACACATCTCAACATATTTTCCCAGGTATGACATCATTCGTCAGATGACAAACTCACTTTTATCACCCTTTGTCTTTCCTGCTTTCCCCTCTCTCCTACTCTTTTTCTCTGGGGTCACAACAGGGCAAGAAGGCAAGTATTTCTCAGTCAGTTATTCTCTCATAGTTTCCCATTCTAACTCCATTCACACTCTCTACTTTAATCCATCACCTCATATCTGTCTAATTCTCTTGTGGCTATGTATGGCTATGGATTTTGGAGCTTGTCATGGAATTTGGACTCCTGTGTGTGTGTATCAACCAAAATAAATTCTGTTTGTCTGCTTATCATGTCATCTCACAGTGAATACTTTCACATATAGCCATCACACAGCTGGCTCCTATTCTACTTATCTGTAAAAATATATTTTTGGATAATATAATATCTGATAATATGAGCCAAAACAAGGTTGTTTTTTGTTTTTCAAAAGCAATGGAGACCTTGCAACAGGAGAGATTTGATGAATTTGGTTATACCTACATTGCTCCAAGGTGAGTGGTCCTCACATTTACTATACAGCCTCTATATACTATACAGGAGATTCCAACTGACCAATGCTGTTTCTTCAGGGAGTACTGCAAAGAGCTGAAGTTGTCACTCAACAACACCCAATTTCTCCTCGACTTCAACCAGTACATTGATAGAAACACTCCAGATGCATGTGAGTCATGCATCTTTTTCAGTGTTATTTCACATTTGTACTGGTTTCCTGCACTGTTCGTACTCATATTGCATATACACCCAGAACAGCAGACGGTATGTTGCATTTCTATGTGTGTGTATGTATTTGTACATTGCATATTTTACAGTTCATCATGGTCTAAAAGATTTTCCACTTGCAAATCGTGATCTCAAGGTCAGAGCATGACTGGGATCATTACTATATCCTAAGCAGGATGATAACAGAATTATCGACTGAGTTTCCTACAAGTCTGATGCTGTCATGCTGCACAATGACTCATAGTGTTTGTCATCACCTAATGGATCTCACCCAGAGTATGGCTTACCACCATCATCCTGATAATGGATCAGTGTACCATGATCCATTTTAACCCAAGGTCAAGTCATGTACTTTGGCATCAATTCTCTTTTTGCTGTTGTTTATGCAGTACGTTGAGTCATTGTGAAATGTTATGGACATGATTTAAAACAACACTCAGGAGATGTTGTGTTGAAACGCTATAGAGAAACGTGCTTGAATGATTTCATTTTGAAAAGCACGTTTTTGAGATTTAAACTTAGCATCTTGGCATCATCTCCCTCCTAAATATACAACAGTCAATCCTTCACAAAGTACACCTGCTTTCTGAATTGCAATAGCCACACAAGCCTCCCTGCTGGATGGTTTTCGGACAGCTGTCATTTCTCCTTGATTTATTTCGAGAAGAACATTGGCTGAATACACCTGCTCTTTTTTTCAGACTCTGACTTTCACCTGCATGACAACTTGTTTTATTCTAACTTTTAGCAAACGAGAAGATCTGATTGGTTTCAGCTCACTGGTGCGCATTCCAAAAGCATAAGTTATTAATGTTACCTGCCCAGATTTGTAAACAAGAGACTGCTTTTTGCATTACTATAATTCACCTGTCACGCACTGTTGCTGTGCTATGGTTCACTGCCTGGAATATGTAAAATAAATATTGTCTTTAATCTATAGGTAATGTGTCCCTTGTGAGTCGACTGATCCTGGATGCAGGTTTGACAGCTGAACTGGTTAAACTTTGGAGCGAGCAGACCGTGTGAGTGCCAAAACTTTTAGGTCTTGTGTATTGAAAGCAATGCAAATAAACAAATCTGAAAATCTGCACTTCAATAAAATAGTGATAGGGAATTTAAATCAATTTTCAATATTATGTGGTGATACTCAGGCAAAAGATGATGATTAGAATACAAAATTTCAAATTTGGATTCATTACTCCATAAGACCTGTTGCAACAGATGTTCAATCCAGTTCTTGTATTATTTTCTCCCTTCTTCCCATCTTGATTTGCTTCATCCCATTGAGACCATATCTGACGAGGCTTCAGCAAACACTAGATGTAGCAGGTGTTTGCTGGAATTGTTTCCTGTTTCCTAATTACATGACTTTCAGATAGAGTTATCTGCTGTAGCTAGGTTTTTTTTTATAGATCTCTCAAGTCTTTTTTTGTCCTCAAAACTATTTTTTAATGAAACACTGCATACAGTGCTGGGATACGCCATATTTTCAGCTAATAGCACTTTGAAAATATTTTTGGTGCAAAAATACTATTTCATCTTTGTCAAGCCATTTTTCATATTCAGCTAAAAAAGTTACGGCAAATTATGTATTGTTTTAAATAGGCTGCTAATGATGTGCCTGAAGATACAATTTAAAATAGGTTATTTGCTAAGTTGTCTGTGTAGAGATGAAACGGGTTAATCCCTTGAGTTTGGTCCGTTTTTTATGCTTGAATGAGACATATGTCAGTGTAAAGTGATTTAAAAAACAAACCAAAAACAACCTTGCCATTCATTTTAAAATGCTCAGCTAGACTAGACTAGAGACTAGAGCAGCGGTCTCCAACTCCAAGCCTCAAGGGCCGGTGTCCTGCAGGTTTTAGATATCACCCTGGGTAAACACACCTGAATCAAATGATTAGTTCATTACCAGGCCTCGAGAACTTCAAGACATGTCGAGGAGGTAATTTAGCCATTTAAATCAGCTGTGTTGGATCCTGCAGACATTAGCTGTAGCACACCGGACCTTGAGGCCTGGAGTCGGACACCCTGGACTAGAGGGTTAGGGTTCAGAGGTGATAATGAGCGAAAAAGCAGCTAATGTGTAAAGAAAAACTTTGAAAGACCTGGGAAAGTACTGCCTAACACCATCCATTCATCCATCCACCCATCCAAATTAAGTATGAGTCACAAAACCCTTATGGACAAAAAAAACTATGCACCATGGCCCCTCACCCAGATTGGGGTTACTGGCCCCACCCTGGAGCCAGGCCCACGGAGACGTTGCTGGCAAAAGTCTGGTGATGAATGAGCTACATCATTCACCACCCATAGGAGGCGCTGTAGAAGTCTGGTGCAGTATGAATCAGATGGTGGTTGAAGCCAGAGGCCTTGGCAGTCCGATCCCCTGAAACTGCTTTGGTTACATAGAATGCCATGGCTCTGGTGGGAAAGGAACTTGTACACCCCCCAAACGCCATGAAGAGGGTGGTGTTTTTGCAGTGGATGAGACGGTTGCTTCCCTGCACCTCTGGGTCGGGGAATGGCCTTCTGGGAATCCCTGAGTTGCGGTGCTGGAAGGTGCCCCATCTGGAGACTCCATTGTCTTGCGAAATGACAGCGTGACCTGAAGGAATGTGATTGTGATGTCTTAAAAGAATTACAAAGTCTTGTGGCTCGTTGGAAGGAAAATTTAAAGAAATGAGGGGTGACTCAAGACATTTGCACAGTATTATATACATTACAGAATACTGTGCAGTGGAAAACTTTGTTCTGTTTGTACACCACTGCTCTGAACTACCCTAGCTGATGATTACTTCATGCACAGTTTATTGGCTGAGCCAACGTTTCACTTCTTTCTTGTCTGCCATGGATGATTTGATCACAACTTATGAGTGAAATATGATGAAAGCAAAGTATAAAATGCATATCACACCCAACCACATTGTGCTTTGCCAAGACGCTGTTTTGAGGGGAAAATAAAATAATTACGTCAGTGTGTTTGCTTTTATGGTATGCCCCCTTGTCTGAAATAATCCCAGCACACATTTACACACACTGAAGGGTATCTATGACATATAGAGACAATCGAATGGGTATAAAACAGTTTGTGTCTGTAGTCTGATCTCAGTTCACAAAAGCTCTTTTTCTGTAATTGTGAGTGTGATTGACTTTGATGTTTGATTTTCTGTTGCTTTCCATGTTCTCAGGGATGGGATAGTGGCCAGGTTTGTAGCTACAGATGGAGGAATCACAAGACTCTATCCAAGAAGGTACTCTTGGTTTTTTATTTGTATTTACATTGCTATCATTAGCATTGGGAAATATCACTGAATTCTTTCCCCAAATACCTTCTGGTGAAAATGTGTAAAATGAAAATTGATACAGACTGTAATACTCTTAGGTTGAATGGTTTTGGCTGCTTTACTCACTTGCTTCACTGGGCTATTTTACAGAACATGGAGAATTAAACTCTTTCAGCTGAACTCCCAGGGCTTGCCAGACCAGTATAGGACAGGGGTTAAAACTACAAAAACCACAGCCAAATACAGCAGTTTTTCCTCAATTTCTCCTCAATTGCCTGAACAACATTTAGGGGCTCCACTTTTCAAATATACAGCAACATTGCAACTAAAACTGAATGCACATAGTCTTTGTTCTCACAATCAAAAACACAATATACAGTTCGTTATTGCTTTTATTATAAGGACATCACACCCTACAAAGGGTGTGAGCCTATTTTTATGAGTTTCAACGAGCTATAGATTAAAATATGAGTTGTTTAGAAAGATCAAACACATTTACTTGGTGTTTTATGGCTGTAACAGACCCCATATAATATTACACACCTTTATTAATGTTTTCAGCGCTGGGGAAGAGTGGACTGAGAATCCTGAGACATATGAGTCAAGTTTCTACAAGCGGACCCTGGACAATGAAATTTATATTTTCACAGCTCCATCTTTCAACGGCAAGTTTTCTGAAAGGTTTGGGTTTGCATGCACATTTCTGTGTGTGAGGATCTTCAGTGTGGTCTGGCACTGAGCCTTTTCTGTTCTCTGCCTTTGGACGCCATCCCAACCCTACTGGCAGAGATCAGGCTCTCAGCCCTCTGATATCACTCTCTTTATCCTTCTTCTTTTCCCGCTGTGTCTTAAAGTGCTCATCCCCACCTTCCCTCCCTTCTGTCCTGTATACTTCCTGTCATCTCCGCTGATCACTCTAACAGACATCAGTGCAGTGATGAAGCCATGCTTAAAGCTCCAGTACACGTGACTAGATTAACACGTGTTAGCTTTACAGGGTCAGCTCTTGTAAATTTCGGCAGATAAAAATGTATGGAATTTTGCACTGGGAGTGGAAATTGTGGAAATCTCTGCCGCATACTTCTAAACATGATTTCAATTAAATTGCAATGATAAAAGATCATCTAACCTTCTTTCATCTTTTTCCAAATTGCAGCAGAGAGTGGGGAGTCTGTGTCTGAGTCAGGTATTCTGGTGAGCAAAGCAGTGGATCTTGTCATTAATGAAGTCACGCTCAAACCAGCAGGTCAGTCTTGCTAATACCACGCTGATTGCTTCTTGTGATGAAACACAAATAAAAAGACCTCTGCCTGTTTTGTGGTTTGTTCTGTAGTGGTGGGAGTGAAACTCAATGTCTCATTCTGGATGAACAGTTTCATGAATGCCACACTGAAACTGAATGTAAGCTGTTCATTTTATTGTTTGAAATATCTAAGAAATGTATATTTTACTGAACTTTTTTTTTTGCCTCACTCACTTTATTTCCTTTTAGTGCAAAGATGAGATTTGCGGCTGTCTAAGGAATGACAAGGTATAACCATATAAAAAACTACCAGTTTATTTAAATACTTTTTTTTGAACGCTTTTCCAGTTGTTTAACACTTTTTATCCTCCAGCATGTGGACTGTGTGATACTGGATGATGGAGGATTTCTTCTCATGTCCAACAAGGATGAGTACATTACCCTGGTGAGTTATCATCAGCAATCTTTACATTATTGCAAACATGTAAGCTTCACTAATTTGGAACATTCCTTTTGCTCTCTACAAATTGTGATCATAAAAATGTGTGGCCACATGTTCAGAAGGGGCGACTTTTCCAGCAGTCATGTTTCTTGTCTTTTCTATTCATTTTTTTACTTGTCTACAAACTCAGTTCCTCTTACCTTTGACAGAGAAATTCATCAATCATATATACGGGTCAAATAAAGGACTTATGACTCATTTACAAGAATGGCCTGTTTGCTTTTAGCCCTACTTTTCTACTACAGCAGTGGACCCATGTGTCTGGTAAAGTAGAGCACTAGACTCTGGACGAAGATCAAAGGGAAGGCTCCGATGGGTCTTAGTCAATCATGGAAGCTGTACTGAACTGTTTCCCCGTGTGTATGTGAGAAGTCCGCTCAACTGTGTTAACTCCACTCTTTTAGGCTGCCTTCAGCCCCAGCCTGTCAGTTGTAGGATATACTGTGAGCTCAAAAACATCTCATGTCAGTCAAGATAGGACATCTGCTGTCTTTGATCCATTCTACCATCACAAAATCTGACACATACAGTTTACTGTCTTTGAGTATTCTTTTCCACATTGTGAAACAATTGATGTCTTCAGAGACGATGCCAAACCTTTTGTGCTATTGAAGAAAAGTAAATGTATGCAGTGGCAGTAGTTCTATGATCCAGAAAAAGGATCCCTTTATTAGGCTTAACAGTACACCTCTTCACTTAGAATCTTTTCCAATCTATAATAGAAGAAGTGGAATTCTTAAGACTAAAAATCTTGTTCTGGGCCATGGATTCAGATATATAGCATTGCCTAAGATGTGTTTCAATGACAAAGAAGAATTAACCGCTTAATAACCTAATACACAGGGTTAAGTCAACATGATGAAGTCCTGTAACAATGACCTCAGTCGAGCATCAACATGTGTAATTGGTGACTGGAGGATTCCACCACTTTCTATCTAGCGAGATCATATGCCCTCTGTGAAAAATTTGAATGGGAAAGCAGTATAGTGCATGTACTTCACATAGTACAATCTGATTGGTCCCAAACTCATCCTTCAGCATAACAGCCACAAACATGCTTTTGTAAAGGACTGTTTTTAGCCACAAGTAAAACAAAGAGTCTCATAACAGATGGCAAAGCCCCACAGAGTGCTGATCTCAACATCACTGAGTCAGTGTGGGCTTACATGAAGGCTCTGAGACAACCCAAATCCACAACAGAAGAAGAAGAAGAGAAGCAAAGTTTGTGTGGAAAGGTCTACATTTTTGTGAACGACTCACCTGCCAAGCAAAGTTATGATTTTGTACTAAGTCTACAAGAAAAGTTAAAGCTAGCTGTGGAAAAAATGTTTGATTTGGGAAAAAAAACAACTAATTGAAACAATATTGCGTATTTGCATAATTAAAAAATATACAGGAAATGACGTAAGTTTATCAGTTTTGTCAAATTTGCCATCACAACAGTCATGAGGACGCTTTGTTGCACATGTGTTTATTTAGACTACGATGTTTGTATAAATGTGGCTCATCTACCTCTGCAAAGTGCTGTGTTTGTATTCTAATACCTTTTTTGAACTTGCATCTTTCCCATAGAAACTCTCTACATATTAAAGCATCAAATACTAAAAATAATACAATTTAAAATTTAAAAAATTGCAATTTATAAAAAAAAATAGGTTACACAATAACTAACCTAAAAATAACTAACAAATCGATTAATGGGTTGTAAATTAATAGTTATTAAAACAGCAATAAATACTGCTAAATAAATACTGTCCATTGTCAGTCATTGTTAAACTAACTCACACCTGATGATGATCACTGAGCATGTATAATATTTTAATTTAAATTTATTTTTGTTGTTGTTTCTTATAATAGAAAATTGTAATTTTATGGAATATAGATGAGGTGATAAAATTAAATTTTAATTACATCGGCACACATAATTTTTAAAGCCTTATGTAGTGTTTAATGGTATCTCTATTTGTTGACAATTCCCACGTACAGTATAATGGTCATTTTGTTATAAAGTTTTTATCACTGACCTATGAGCCTGTTCTCATTTTCAGGGTATTTAAATATTTTGGTTTTATAAAAGTTGCTGGTATGGAAAGTTTTTTTTACTTTATCATTACAGCTGACATTTTTCATCCAAAACTGCATTTGTTTCCTAAACTGTTTAAGTACTTTTGGTACCTAAAGCTAACTGGTGAACAAAACAGAACACAAATAATAGTACATGTTGCAGTTATTTGACTGACTCCAGTGCCAATCTGCCCGACTTTTTATGGAAACTTAAAAAGGTATACTGTAACATAGAAAACATTTTCAGTTTTACAATAGCTATCAAGATAATATTTCTAGATACCCAATACCATTTACAAACGTTTACTTAGGCAGTATCATTCAACAGCATAGCATACATTTTTATTGCTATGCAGATGATATCCAGCTTTATTTATCCATAAGGCCACATAACACACAGCAATCGGCTAAACTGCAGGAATGTCTTAAAGATGTAAAGACGTAGATGACCTTTACATTTCTGCTTCTAAATTGAAATAAAACTGAGGTTATTTACTAAAACAAAGCATCTACCAAATACTTACTCTGGATGACATTACCTTGGCCTCCAGTAACACTATGAGGAAAGTTAGAGTTGTTTTTGACCAGGATATGACCTGGTCGTTTGGAATCCTTCGCACATACAAGGTCTTGAATAATTAGGCTTCATCTTACGTTAAAGACCTCATAGTACCCTACTCCAATAAGGCAGTTTGCTCTACAACTGCTGGGTGACTTGTGGTTCCCAAGATGCGAGGTAGAATGGGGAAAAAGTAGAATGGGAGGAAGAGCTGCCAGATTTCAGGCCAAGAAACAGCTCTCAGTTTGGATTCAGGAGACAGACACCCTCTCTGCTTTTAAGATCAGGCTGAACGCTCTCCCTTTTTGATAAAGTATGGCCCCCTCTCCCTGAGCCTGGTTCTGTCAGAAATTTCTTCCTACTAAAAGGAAGATTTTCCTTGTCAGTGTTTCCAAGTGCTTGCTTAAAGGGGTTGTTTGATTGTTGGAATTTTCTCTGTATTATTGTAGGGTATTTAACTTATAAATAAAATTAACCGGGAAAAAAGCTATTAACCTCAGACAAGAGGTTCATATATATATATATATATATATAAGATGATGATCAATGATGGAATATATTCTACAACTTTAACTCTAATGATTACTTATTTAAGTTGGTAGAGTTATGTTGGACTAACATTTTGATGCAAAACCTCTCAAAAGTCTTCAGCTGACTTAATAACTGCTAATATCTGCTATGTGAGGGTCATACTGTAGCATATGATTTACATCATTATCATACTCATCAAACCATTCGCTGAACCCGTGTGCCCTATGAATAAGGCGTTGTCATTCTGTAAGAATGCAGTGATATTAGAATAGAAATGTTTTCCTCACTGGATAAAGATAGATCACTTAGAACAGCGCTGTAATGATTTTTTAATGACCCATACGTCTAAGGGGATAAAAAGGGTACCTCAACCCTGCAAGCAAAACACTTACTTAATAGCGCCACTGCCTTTTCTGTTAATTTACTTATACTCCAACCAATGCTACTTTAAGGTAAGTAGGACCCAACTCGGTGCTTTGTTTACAAAAAAACAAAACAAAACAAGCCTTACTTTTACACTGGTCTTACTCTCTGTTATGTTTTGTGTCTGTGTGTGTGTATATATGTGAACCTGTCTAGATAGGTCAGTTTTTTGGTGAGGTGGATCCAGTGCTGATGACCAACCTGGTCAACACCTCCCTGTACTCCTTGAACAAGACTTACGACTATCAGTCTGTCTGTGATCCAGAGAAAGACAGCAAGGCAGCAGCTGGACCCCGCTCCGTCTATGTGGTTAGAAACCTCACTGAAACCATTACTGTATATGTTATTTGGTTTCTATTTGTGCAATAGTAATATGTTAACGTAAAAAAACAGAATTTATTAGTTAATTTGATTTATGAAGCCTTACTAGCTTTGTCGGAGGCTTTTTTGTGCTTATTTTTTCACTAGCACTTTCTTTTCCTGTCTTTCTACAGCCTACCATTGCAGACTTTCTCAGTATTGGCTGGGGGGCATCCACTGCTGCCTGGTGAGTGTAGAGGTTGTGTGCTTGTGCTTCTCTGTTTCATTGATTTGCGTGTGCATGTTAGAGTGGGAGCACACTTGTATTTCAGGGTGGGAGTTTGTACGGGAGTGGACTTGCATGCTGTTGAAGGATGAAGTTGGCTGGGTCAGTGTAAGACAAGGGCAGTTACACAACATGATACCGCATCATTTTCTGCTTAGCTGTCCAACTGCAATATAACCAGCTTTTAAAATAGAATGCCTGATACTTCCCATGACATTTACATCACCAGTTACTCTAACTTTAGACAGATGTGTTGCTTTTACTAAACAGCTATTGGTCGAACGTACTTTTAAAAAACAAGCTGTTCAGGCGATTTGTTGCCTCCTACATGTGACTCATTTTGTTTTTGTTTTTACTATTTATTGTTTTTTCCTAGGTCAGTACTTCAGCAGCTCTTCTTGGGTCTCATGTTCCCCAGCCTTCTACAGGCAGGCAAGTAACATAAGCTGTGCATAACCATCAGTCTTAGTTTGAAGAGACAGAGGTCTGTCACTCCAGTTTTAATCCATGCATTTCTCACTAATCCTCTTTTCTATTAAACGTCCCTCTTATTTCTAGCAGAGTCGACAGATGACGACATATCAGATGCCATGTTTAAAGAAAGCTGTATCACAGAGCAGACTCAATATTTCTTTGACAACGACGAAAAATCCTACTCAGGTGTCCTGGACTGTGGAAACTGTTCCAGGTATGTGTATGTTAGTTCCCAAGACTCCCCATATGCTTCCAGCTTAGTGGCTCTTTCCACTGATGCTCTGAATGACTTTAAATGGCTGTTGTTGAAGATTTTCAGCTTCTTGCTGGGCGTCCATCTGTTTAATGGCCTGTGGGGATTGATCCAGAAAAGAATTGGTTTCCTGGTTTCTTTCTGTTTTGCAGGCTGATTTCAGACAGCTGCTTTCTGATGAGTTCTGATCACACGCAGATTACCTTGATCTGTCAGAGCCCGGAATTGGAGAGGAAAGCACAAAAAGCCTTTTTTATCTGTTTTTCTTCCTTTACACTCTGGCTGTATGTCAAACTCACTAATACACACATTTACAGGCCGCTGCACATTTGCTTTGCTGTAACCTACGTTTGTATCACTTTGGGCTGTCTGAGGGGGTTAAATATGGCTGTAATTACTGGGTGTTATGAGTCCCACGTGTCTGATGTTTTACTCCCCAAAGTTAACAACTGTAGACACAGATACTTTAATGACTACCATAAAAAGTCAATCCCATGAGGAAGGAGGTGGTATGAAGTGCACTGTTTGTGCATAACTGAACACATACCTGCATGTACATGTGTGCTGCGTTGGTACCACGTTATACGTGCTTTATTTTCCTTTTTTCTAGGATGTACCGTGCTGAGAAGCTGCCAAACACCAACCTTGTGTTTTTAATCACTGATGCCAAAGCAACATGTTTGTCATGTGACCCCAGACCACTGCGACAGGCTGAACAGCCCTGTATCCTTTCACTCGGCTTAAAAACTGTACTTTCTTTTGTCTCTTCAATCCTCCATAAACCACATATATAGCAGCACTTTAACCTGTCAGTACGAGGACACACACCTAATAAGTGTGCAGTGGGTCCCCACTCAGTGTTCATGTGTGAACCGTAAACCAGATGCACAGCATATGAAAGGTGGTCTCACATTACGTCTAGATTAAATTTCTATGTTTAACTTCATCTGGGCTACAGGTTGCCATCAGGTTAAATTAAGATTAAGAGAAGGGGTGTGTGTGTATGTGTCCTGGATATGTGTTTGACAGATGTGTCTTTAATGTAGGTTTCTGTTGATTGGACAGTAAAGGTGTCATCACCAGAGGTCACCAGGGGGCCACTACAGAGCTGTCCATTTGGTAATAATAGCACTAAATGTTGCTGCCACAGCACATTAAATTATTAAACATTTTATAAACAATACTTCTAATCAATGATCAAGGCTACCTTTTGTCATATCAGTAATCAAAATTTCTCTTACAGTCTCCAGTGTTTTCATATAAAAAGCTATTTTTAAAACAAATATTACTAAATAATGTTTGTTAATCTCTATTAGATGTGAAAAATTAAAATTCGTAAAAATTAGTCATTCGTATTTAGGTCTTTGAAGATTGCTGCCATCCATACTTCAGCAGTTGTTTCTCTTAAAAATGTGTTTTTTTTTCTCTCCACTGTTGCTCCAGTGCTTACTCATAAGGGATCATTGTTGTCTGTCTAACTATAATGATGCACTGTTTGCAATATAAAGTACCTCAGCGTGACTGGCGGTGTCATTTTGTGCTATAAAAATGAAGTGTTTCTGAGTACATAACGACACATTATTGAGTTTTTATTGTTAAAATGTGCACAACTGCAATTTGAATTTTCCTGAGTGTCCTTCCAGCTGAAGGTCCAGATCCATGTGACATGGTTGATAAAGCCAGATATCGCAAAGGGCCGGACGTGTGCTTTGACAACAATGAATATGTAAGACACAGTCACATATGTGCCCTTGCGCAGAGAATATTTTCTGGAAACAGCTCTATTAGCCAGACTAAACGGTTGGCTTCTGTCAGTTTCTGTCTGGTTTTCATCAGCAATGTGCTTTCTGCATAGATTTAAAGCAATAAAAATTACCTGCCCTTTGAGCTTCCTTCATCTTTCATTTATCTATCCAGTTTCCATGTTATTTATCAGTTTTTAATATTCATTGACAATTCACTCATTTGTTTGTATTCCTTTCTGTCTTCTTGTCTCTCATTATTTTTTGTTCTTCTTTTATGTTTCTGCTTCCCAATGGCTGCTGCTCTTGTCTGACAGGATGAACCTTTGTGCCCAGTCAGCAAAGGTTCTACAATGAGCCCTACACCTTTACTGTTGTTTCTGGTTCTGGCTTCAGGGTCAGTGCCGTCTCACTGCTTCAGAAGGCTCATTCCTAACATATTAACTTCTATGATATTCAAAGTTTCTTGGTGATTGCAAAAGTTCTTTTTAGGGGCAGTGTAAATCAGGTAGTATGATGGACATTCAATTAAAGCTGATTTGTTTTTTTCATTTTTCCATTATGTTGTAATATGTAATATGTTGGTTATTACAATTTAAAAAGTTTTATAAACAGTAAAGATTTTAATTTCCATGAGGTATTATACTCACTAAAATAATTTAATAAGGAAATAGCTGATGAGAAAAAAAATAAGAAGTATAACACAGCTTAATAAATAGGTGAGATCTTTTCTTTGTTGAATAATTCCCTTACTCGCAGAATGCTGCATCTATCTTATATTGTACATAATTTTGCACAATTTTGTTTAAAAAAAAATAATGTTTAAAGTATTGTACAAAGTTACTAGTGGACCTTTATGTATCATATCAGCTAAATCCGTAAAACAAAAGAGAAAAGCAGATAAATTATATGTGAACTCGTTGAGTCACCACCCAACTGAACAATTTATAAGACATCTAAATATTTGGAAAAAAAATATCTGGCATATCTTTGTGAACTCTGCCTTTCATTGTGCTATAAAGGAGTAGAACATACACACAACAGGCCACCAATTCATGTGCCTTTTGGTGTTTATATTATGAAGAGGCCATGCTGGGAAGCAGAAAGGGAGGGGAGGAATAACGTAGGAAGTAGATGAACGGAGTAAATGTAGGCCGTGTCCTTTTCCTCTCCCTTCTGTCCCATTACTTTTGGCTAAGTTCCTCATAGGAAGACAGTTTGTGTCCAGTCCAGTCCATTTTGTCACTGGAGTAAACAAAGGAAGCTTCACATGGCTTTCCTGCCCTTTGAATACAGAAGACCCCCACCTCTTTCTCCTAGGCCTTTGGCATGCACGGATATCCTGAATACTCCCATTAAATAAAAAAAAAAACAGCTACACACTGAAGCTACCAGGTGCAAGCCATTGCACAAAGATTGAGGTCTGAAAACACCTCTAAATATTTGAACAGAGCTGTTAAATTAATATTTCATTTTGGCAATGTGTTTGCTTGCTTTTTTGCTGACAGTTAAATAAAACATAAGTGTATATGTTGATACCGCTCTCGCTGATTATTATAACACTGGACCGGATAGTTATTTAGCCACAGAAAGAGCTAACCTTTCGCTGCACTTATCCAGGAAACACTCAAGGAGATAACACCATAAACTGTTGTCTTTACACTTCAGGTTCTGTATGGGTAAAACTAATGATATCTAAATAAATAATCTGTATGCGCTTAGTGTGCTGGGTAGATGTTTTTTGTCAACTTGGGATTAAGCCACACAGTTTTGAGTATTTCTGCTATGCTAACTATCTCCGGTTCCATCTAGTTATAACAGATATAATGTGGCAGGTATGTACGTTGTTGTTGTATCAAGGGGAAAGGGGGAAAACATGCTTCTCTAAAAACCTGTCAATCTTCAGTGTGAAAAGTAGACTTGATACAACACCAACAGTAGACTATAGAATGACTGAATTTGATATAGTATAATCATAAAATGCTTATTACTGTTAGTAGCAGCAGTAGTGGTGGTAGCAGTTGAGATAGAGCTTTTGAATGTCAGAGAAGACTGCTTCTAATTTACTTACACTTGATCTGTCCAACAGGAAGACGATTCTGATTGTGGAGGAGGGACTTGTCTAAGACCGAGCCTCTGGCCAGTGTTCGGGTTTCAGCTGCTGCTGTTGTGGCTCAGCACATCTTTGCAACACTCATGACCCCTACACGCGATTACATACACTCATACACTGATCATCAAGTCATTTCGCTGGAGGCCAGAAGACACTCGAGTTGCACCATACAGGATGTATGCAGAATATTTGCAACAAGACATTTTTATTTTCTCAAGACCAATATCAGCATTTCCATTTGCCAATGCCAAAGGGTGCTCATTCATTACCTCCTCATTATTTTCCAAGAAGAGAGACACATTTACTGTGCTCAGCGGCACTCATTTTCATGATATACTCCTTAATATTCTCCTATGGTGCAAGAGTAAGAGCTAACCAAACCCTTTAATTCTGCCTCATTTTCTCTTGTGTGTCTGATTTATTTTGAGGAGGTTGAAAGACGTTTTCCCACTATGCCAACTAAATCTCATTCGAAGCCTGTATGTTCACTGACAGCATTGATTTGTGTGGTTGTCGGTATTGTTTGTTGCTTATTATATTCATTGTGTATGAATAAGTATGCTGTAAGGATCGTTTATTTTGGCAACCAGAGCAAGTATTAAGAGTATCCCTTTTGATTTGTTTTTAAATGTACTTTACCAACCTATCTACATTTCACTTTTGTACTCAAAATCAGTAAGCATTTTGTGTCTAGCTAGGTGTTGTATTGTAGCAGCATGTGCTCAGTACAGAGCGAAAGACAACACCGACTTTTTGACACCAAAGCTCCACACAGTACCAATGACCGCAAACCTACTAAAGAGAATCTGCACAATAGCTTAATTCGAGATATTCCTCCGATGTGGGTGTACATCAGTAAACAAGCTACATTATTAGCTAGATATTATAGATATTTCACCAAGAGATAAGTGAGGTCAGGTTGCATCCAATGTGATAATCTATTAGGATATTGCAATTTTACAAATATATTTGTACTTCAAGTGACAGCTTTGGTTGTCTTCAGTTTGATGCATCAAATTCCCAGTGCCTATGTAGTAAATCAAACTGTCTGGTATTTGAATGAAGCAACACATCAGATTTGTATTCTTACCACATATGCTTCTATGCTAACGCTTGCTGCAGTTTAGCAGAGAGGGTATCCCTTGCAGTAATTTGTTATGAAATAGTCTAAATCTGCTGCAGTTCTTCTAATTTTTTGGCTTACAGATAGGTGATGGAAACAACCGTTGACTTTGATGATGAGAGAGGAATATCATTCCCCTCTTTTGCCAAAACAAAGCTAAGCCAGGCTTGAGTTTGGGTTCCAACACCTCTCTTTATTAATCCTGTTTCTGTTTCCTTTCTGGATCGCCAGACTCAGGAGCCAAGATGACTTGTGAATGAGATCAGCATATCAAAATGACTGTTTCTTTGTTTTCTTGCTGTTCTCTTTATGCTTGTTTCCTCTTTGTGTTGCTCTATAAGTGCTGTGAAGCAGACGCTGAAGGCTCAGTGTCGAAATGCTGCAATGTCATGGGATGAGCTTGTTCTGTGTTTGAACTCTGTCTATGCCTACGATCAGCATCAGGGCATGCTGGAGAGAACTTTGAGAGCACTCTTTTACCAATGATAATTTTCCATTGCCTTACTTTGTCTTAGGTTTTAGTAAGTCATAAAGATCATACATAAGTTCATCTTTTCCCTGTTTTGTTTTGTTTTTTTTTAAGAATAAAAGTAACGTTCTCTCCACCTCGCCTTCATGGTGATATACTGGTGTGATCAGGTTATGCTGTCTAGCAAAGTTATGTGTTGACTTGTGTTTTACCCTGAGGGTCCCCTGTCTGTGTGCAGGCATGTATGTGTCCCTCCGATATCTGATTGTGCTTTAATACCGTACATGAAATACTCTTTTGTGGATCTTCACTAGCCTGAATAAATTTTGTATACATTTGTACACTAATACTATTTACTGTAAAAAAGAGAAAATGGAAGAAATGAAAAAAAATGTTTATAATATGGTGTTAGTTATTGTGCATATATAATAAATTCACAAAAAAACGTTGTATTAGTATGACCTGAGATTCTCCTTATTGCTCACATCTGGTCAGATGCTTTGGCTCCACTGGGAGCAGACCAAACATGTCATCCTTCCTGCTGACAGAGACAGCTGCTGAAAAAGAAAGACCATCTGCATTTGTGGTTCACTGTGTCCGTGTTGGTATATGAAGGAAGGGTGTGGGTGATTTGGGATTAGTCAAGTAGCTCTTTACACTACAGTTGTCTTATTAATGCCTAATTATCAAATTACTGAAAGAAAGTGCAACTTAACACCTGGCCGGCTAAAAAAACATCATGCCTAGTTTGTGTCTGACCGCACCCCAGATCTCTGATATGTGGGATTTGCGGTTGGGTGTTGTCATAGCCAATAGCCTGTCTACATCAGTACAAGAAGGTAATAGCTTAAATCATATTTCCATGGTCTTGGGTATTTATTTCCTAAATGTGCTGGCGGATGTGTGCTAAAATGTGTAAACGTTTGCAGCTTTATTTCATTTTATCTTTCATTCCAAAGTAAAGTCTAAATGTAGTTATGAAAGCACTTCATTTACTTCAGCATGAAAACACACTTGATCAAGCATAAGTTAAATACAGTAATTGTGCAGTTCAAATGACCACTCAAAGAAGTCTAAGTGCTACCTTAAAAGACAGGATTTAAGACATTTTTTTTCTTGTTCCACGTCCTTCATACTCCCTCAACTACACATATAAAACCATACACATCCATTTTTACATGATTTCTGGGGTGAGGAAGGCAGTGGCTCCTCTGGGTGGAAATCTTAGCTGTATGTAAGATGTCAAACAGAATGGCAGAGAGTGCCCCACTGAGTACTGTCAGAGGCCTCAGTGTTTTTGATTTTTGTGATGCCTGTTGCAGCATTATTGACACAGACAGCTCTGCTATCCCCTGCCTAAAGCAGCAATCAAATGTCAGATGCTAACACCAGTGAGCAGTTGAGCATAATCTACACTTTACCTGATGGCGTTTGTGTTTATCTGACCGTAATATAAGAATGTGTAAGGCCACAATTTGGAGCAGTAGCTATTAAAAATATTTGTTTTTTTTAGAGATATGTCCGCCTGGGAGGTCTTTGTATGTGTGCTACACAGCAATGATCTAGTAGGGAGGTTGTAACGGGACACCCTTGTAAATAGGCACGAGGTCATACCCTTTAACATGCCTGGCTTAAAATCCTACAGACATAGAAGAAAAGCAGGAACTAGTTAGACATCTCTGTTTAATGCTTAACAAATCAAAAACCTTCCTTCTAACCAAAAATAAAATAAACCTGTAACAATGTATTCAAAGTCAAAAAGATCCCTCATTTTACTGGTTTAACTTACTAACTGGTCCACACATGTAGATTAACAACAGCATGGTATAATATAAGGAATACACCTTAAACCCATTGCTTCTAAGGATTTAGATCGGGTGGCTTAAATCCACTTTAACGTTTTTGTTTTGCTTTTCTTTCATTACTCAATATTTCTGAGAAACAGTATTAATATTAGATACCCCAAGAAAGACCATGACTCATCTGTGGTTAAGTTAAAATCTTAGAGTGGCTTTTTAGGTTTGTTCCACTAATTGCAGGAAGTGGCACACTAGACTAATGCTGCATCAACATCATGACCCGTGACTGGATCTGCAAGGATCAGCATGTCATCAAGTACACTCCTCCAAAGTTCATTAACTCTTTTGTGATAGTAATATAACATCTATTTGCGTAGACCTTTACCGGCAAATGGTTGTTTTTTTTTGGAACGGTGTTGCAACTTAATGGCACTCTAATTTTAGCTCCAACACTCTCAGCAGCCTTTGGGTCATGAGGTTCCCGGGGCAGTCAACCCACGTCTGAATAAACTTCCCTGAATCTGGTTAATATAATGTGGTTTACATTAGCTGCAACATTTTTAATTGGCACTGTTTGTTGTTTTTTTTCTAACTGTTAAAAAAAGTACACTTCCTGTAAGCCGTGACATAGAGGTCACAGTTTTTCCGTCACTACAAGGCTTCAGCCAGGCAGGGGCATCGGGGTCAATAAGGTTTTGAAGTGTAGTAAGAAAAAATTTTCCAGTATCTTCTGTAAATGCTCCCTGATTGCTTGGGTATATTTATGGTGTTTTTTCCTGTGAGAGACACACTCTTCCCCCCTCCAAGCTAGGATCAAACAGTATTTGTATATAAATCTTTATGTTTATGGAAGTCCAAAAGGATTTAGCAGACTGGAAAAGGAAAAGAGAGAACGTGTCAAATAAGTTGTTAATCACACGAAATGATCCCAAATACTCTTTAAACATTTTCCTGTTGCAGTTTACTTTTTTTTTAATCACCTGTTTTTGTGAACCCCTGCACACAGGCTGGCAGCAAAGTCAATCAAAGACTGCCTCAACAATATTTGCAACACGGTGAGAAAGATGTGTTAAACAACCTGAAGGTCGGGCAGAACACCAAACATACACTTGGCATGGACTTTCAGGAAATGCCACAGTCTTTTCCAAACCCATAAACATGACCACACACTTGTCTGTTCTTCCTACCTTGGTTTTTTTTTCTCTCAGTTTGTAATCATGTTGTAGGTTCAGTACATATCTGCATGTGTGTGTCCTGAATGTAATTGGTAGCCATAGCCCGGGTAAAATCTAACCAGGTGAATGGTCTTAACATAACACATTCCACTCTAGCCCCTACTGAGTCTTGATTTGTGGATTTTCTCTGTGTTTAGAGTGGGGCCTAACATATAGTATAACTGGTAACATGAGGTGTTAAGTTTGTTGGGGCCATGTGCATTCACCGAGGTTCTTTCCATGGGATCAGATATTTTTATAAGTCTCTCAACATAAAAACTTACATTTTTGTGAATGACATAGAAAGTGTACAACTTTTAAAGGTATCCTGTTAAGTTTGTGGCCACTAGTAGCACAGTGTAGTAGTGTTTTTATAGGCTCATTCCTGTTTTGCTTGTACTCTGCACATTCAAAACAGATTCTGCAACTGGTTTCCCTTTATTCTACTGATCAGCAGATATGGGTACTTAGATGTAAAGCAATGTGATGTGAGGCAGGCTGCCAAATAAAGGTAAAAAATAACACACTTTAAGGGGTGGTCCAAGCTGGACACCACTGTTACACCTGATTACATTTTATATATCTGGCTAGAGATCATGTAGGTAATATGCCAAAGGTGGAGGAGAGTAGAACTCGTTGGTGTATGTGTGCATCTTCAGGCTACACTACCTACACTAAACTGCCAAAAGTATTCACTCAGCCATTCAAATTATTGAATTCAGTTATTCCAATTACTTCATTGGCCCCAGGTTTATAAAATCAAGCACCTAGGCACGCA